CTGAAATGACCCCCTAAGATCATTTTTAAACCAAAAATAGCCCCTGAGGTCATCTGAAAACCAACCATCGTTCTGTTTAACTAGAGATAAGTGTGTGTCTTGATAATAGCGAACCATCTATATGGATTTAAATTGACAGCAGCAACTCAAAACATTACATAGGAGCCTTAAGGGCAGGAAGTTTGTGTTCCTAAGGGAGGGACTAGTCCGAAAAGGAGGCTGCGAGTGATCTCACAGCAGGTAGAATGCAATCGATGTTATTAAATTGCATATGTAGAAAGTGTTGGCTTGGTGTGCGCTTTGCTTGGTCTATTCACAACCACAATAACAAATGAAATAAAACGTGGAAGAAAAATGACAACTATGCTTAACCCGTTTCCTTGCCCAAACCAAAAACCCAACCCCATGCCACTGCGTCTGTTCCGTGTTGTAGTAACTGTATAGACAGGGGAGAGTGGAACTGTTTGTAGGGTTTCTGAAGCTGGGTATCTCTACCGGCGCGGACAGCCTTGTCTTTTTTCCAAGGAGAAAGAGGTAGATCCAGACTGCCAACATTCAGTGACACCCATTACACCACCAGGACTCCTTATAGTTGGCACCACTCTGGCCACTGAGATGCCTGCATAGAAATCTGGGTGTGGGCTTTAGAAATTACGTAAGCTCTTGCAAAGGGTCCAAGTAACCTGGCATATACCCAATTATCCTTCCCTTTCATCTGTATTCCCATTTGGACCTCAGCTGTGGAAGCTGGAACTCGCACAGAAAGGATGTGATGGTGAGAATCAAGGGGAAAGGACGAGGTGGGGAACAACCCAAGATTGCGTCTCATGAGACTTCTTTTGCATGAGCGAAAAGTCACACGAATTCTAGCTGACCACCTTGGCCAATGGCTCTAGAGGGAATTATCTAGGAAATAAAGCTAGTGAGCTAAAGTGATGTCCCATTTAGGCCCCACTAGTGTTTGTACATGATGTCTAATGGAGCTGGTTACTGTGGAAACGGCATATTTTCTGGGGAGCTGAGGAAAAGCCACTATTAGTATAAAACAAACACAAAGGAATTACTTTTGCCCTGGAAATCCCGCCGAGATGCTGGTGGCTGAGTGGTCCTGATAAAAGAATCCAGCGGCTTGCTCTTTGTCTTCCTTCCTTCCGCCTGCCTTGTCCGGACAGAATCTTCCTTCCTTCCCCCTGGTCCCTACAGAATGACATCCTCCTGTTTCACTGGGGCTGTTAGCTGAAATCCACCAGGACCAGGAAGAGCAGGTACTGTAGCATGTGGACGAAAACGAAGTGTTCGTGATGTGCTTGTGAAACTAAACCACATCCATGTAAAACATTTCAAAGGACTTCAATACACACCAAGGGACCCTGCTCCTTCCGTGAAGTATTTATATGTCAACCACTTCTTGGAGTGATCTGGAAGATGTTTTGAGTAATTTTCCTAAGTCATTCCATTTTAATGGATCAGGAACCAAATTCCACTCAAGTTAAAAATATTCCCTTTGTACCATCCATTAAAGTTTGCTTCTTCTGTTTTGAATATTCTGCAAGGCATGTGTGTCATCCCTTGTGCTTTTTCTTAACTATATATGATATATATATTCTGGTACACTTTGTCTGTGAACTCCTAGGAATCAGCCCTGTACAACTACAATGCTCTATACTACTCTATAAATCACAGAGCCAAACCTACTCCTAACTCACTGAAACCCCGTGCTTGTCAGAATAGAACTGTGCCAAGGAGGTTTCCATGGGTAGCTGCTTTGTTTTGTCTTTTTTCTTTTTAAGCTAATCTCCAGATCTTTCTTCTGAGGTCCTCTGGGTGGATGCAACTTATGATTTTTCCATTAGTGGCTGAACACATTTACATTGCTCAGGAACTTCACAAGCGATACTCCTTGCCACTATTCAGTCAATGGCCAGCTCGCTCAACCCTACAGGGAAGAGCAGAAGAACTGACATGCAGGGCTACTAAGGCTGCCCATCTTTCCGGAAGCAGACCGCCTCATCTTTCTTCCTTGGAGAAGCAGATAGATTCAAGCCAGCCATGGGCCT